ACTACAGGACATGAGAAAGCACGATGCAAGTCACTGCTATTGTAAAGGTAAAAAAGGCCAGTTTATGTTCTGACTCCAGCATTTATAGTTTTTCAAAGGTGACAGTGGATTGGAGGGTGAAAGTGCCACCTCTGCAATGATACTGGACAAACTACCAGTTCATCAAATTTCTCCGCCTCTATGAAGGAATGCAACAGCAATAAGTTATTTACAGAAAGTGTGTGAGAAAGTTTGCTACAAGAATGCAAACTCAGAAGGCTTTAGAAATTCTTAAAAAATCAGGATGATGGGTATGTGTGGATCTGTCAGAGGAAAAAGTAAAAACTTGGGAAGGGTAGGAAACGGGCTCAAGCAGAAAGGCTGTGCATCACCAAACAACCCTTTAGTTTTTGTGACACAAGTCAAAATATCACTTAGTTCAATTTATGTGAGAGAGTACTGAGATAGTTAACAGGTTTCTATACACAAGCATTTATGTAGATATTTTAAAAACTAAATAAACTATATATAATTGTCCTAAGATATAATATTTTTTCTCAAGATTTGGACAAAGTGGAAAGATGACCAGGATTCAGCAACACTTGATTTTTTGCAAAACCACACTCCTGCCCCCATAACTCCTAAGCCTAGGATTTTTTCTATCATCCTTTCAAGGGCCCCAGCCTGTACCCAAGATCTTGGCTCCCGTAGTGTTATTTTGGAAATAGAAATTAAACCTCCTTTCTCATGACTGCCAGAGAAGCAGGGCTCTTGCAGCCAGTTTCAGGAGCCCTTACCCAGATCCCATAGCTGCTGTGCTCCTTTTGAGGCCCAGCATGTGATCCAATATGCTTTACTCTGCTTCTGGCCACAGGCTGCACTCAGATGGTCACTTTCCAACCCCCTGCTGCCTGACTCCATGGAGGAGTAGAGGGAGCATGCCTTGGAATTCAATTACCTCCTCCCCATGGGGAAAGGAGAGGAGGTAAAAGGCAAGTCAGAAGACAGAAAACAAAAGGCTGAGCAACTGCCTGCAGCAAAATAGGGAATTCCACGAGGGAATGCTGAATTTGGTGGCACCTTGATGAAATGCCAAATTGCGTAGCCATTGCCTTGCTGAGTACAGGGGCTCTGAGCCACGGGGAACTGGACTAACATAAATTGGATCAATTCCCACAAGTTAGAGGCATTGTTTCAGATTCTCATTGGAGTCATGCACATGACATTGCAATGGATTACACCATATATTTTTAAGTTCTTCAAAACTAAAATGGTTGGTTGTTTATTTTCCCCTCTGAACAAAATTGTAAATTCCATTGCTATGAAATACATGGAGTTATTTTAACAAATCAGTTATGAATATAAACTATTGCCAGTTATCCAATGGATTATTGATGATATTTTAATTAGACTGACCACTTTACTGAGACAAACTCAGTGTATATCTTCTCTAATTTTAAAATCCTTAACTCATTAACCTCCTTCTCCTCTCCTCTCTTACTTTGCATCTGTATTTTATATCTATATATATGTGTGTGTGTGTGTGTGTGTGTTTACTTTCACTTTTTTACTTTTACTTTTTTATATCTTTTTCATAGTAGATTAATTTTACTGATACCCCATGGTCCAGCAGGAGTCATCTGCAATGCTGGTTCAATGCATGCTGGTTCAAAAACTCCTCACACTGCAAAGCTATGATTCAGTGAAAACTCTCATTGCTGGGTCTGGTTTTCTGAAGTGTTGCTGGGTAATGTTGCAACCACAGGCCTTGTCCCTTCTGCAGCTAGTGTGAAGCCAGCATGTATTTCACACTGTGTGTTATGATCAGTGTGACAGAAATGTTCTGGTGCACATCAAATGTTCTGGTGAATGAGCCAGGGGTGATCTCGCTCTTACTTCAGAGACTACTAAGACAGACGGCTGCAAGTGCTTCTGTTCCTAAAATGGTCTGTGAAAAGTCATTTATCTGTCTTATCCAGAGGGAAAAACAGCTTCCTACTCAAGGAAGTACTTTCCCTAAAGTAGGAAGTAGTGTCATGTCAGAGACTGAACATCAACATCAGGTTTTATAATGAAGTTTTTTTCTTACTGTGCACTGTGAAAGCATGTGAGCTGCAGCTACACTTGAGGAGACATGAAAGACATTAAAATTTATGGGATTTGTGCTTAAAGATGATATTTAACACACTGGAAGGATCATTTCCTTGCTTTCACTTCTAAACCCTGGTTGGAAAATGCTTAATCTGGGGCAGGGAGAAGCCCATTTCTCAACAGTTTTATGTTAGTTTTGCAGTTTTAGAAAAGATGTTGGTTATTCTTTTCTCAGTCCCTGAGTAATCTTAGTGGCACCTACCTACCTGGTGAAGTGCCTCTTTCGCTTTATCTCATTGCAGAGTTTTCACAATCAGCTTCATTCACTTTTCTTCATTATTCATGGTGTTTTATCTCCCAGGAGCAGAAGTAAGGCACCTCTGAGATACTGATACACACTGATGAGACTGGTGCTTCTGGTCATCTGCCAAAGCTTGTAGTTATCCAGTTTCAGGAGACAGTGAAAATCATGGCTGTTTATATCACCCTTTAATTACATTTACAGCAACCTCTAGAATTTACTAATTTAAGGTAGTTGCCTAAGTTAAGAGTCCTGTGTTAATCTCTGTTCCCATTATTGTTCAATATATTAAAAGTGGTGTGAGAAGACATTGTTCCTGCTCTCATAAATTTGAACCATCCCTCACTGATGCTCACATTTTGTGTATCCCAGCTTCCACTGTTTGAGCAGCCACACAATGGCTTTTTATTTTACAAACAGAGAAAATTTGTTACTCCCAGAACATATGATCACAGCAAAGTTCTCAGTGCCTGAAAAGGTGGTCTGTGATGGCTTTGCTGGCAAACTCATAACTTTGATTAGTAATGGTGAGATGTTAAATCCCCATTACATTAACCTACATTCTGTCTCAAGTACTTGGAATACCACCAGGCCTTTCAGAACAGAATTTCTTTTCTTTCTCTTTATCCCAAGTTTCCAGCACAGCCTGGAAGGGCAGCTGGCTCTGCCTTGGTGTGTTAGAAGCATGGTGCATTCCCAGCTGGCTGTTGGACAGAATTTGCTGGGCAAAGGCACAGAGGAGCAGCAGCACAGTACAAAAAGCTCTGATGTGCATTGAGATAAAATAGATGGAGTTTCTCATAATCCTGAAGTCTTCTTTTGGTATAAAGTATTCCTCACTTTGTCCACTTGTCTTGTTGATTTGCTTCCTCTGCTCTTGATGCCCTCTTATTTTTCCTTTCTTCCTCCTCTCCTCACCACCTTCTTCTGCTCTTTTCCTCACCTTCTTCCTCCACCTGTATCCCCTATGTCCTTTTTCTGCCTCTTCTAGCATTACCCTGTGTAAGGAGCAGCCAGTACTTTGATTTCATGTGCAGTCCCTCATGCCAAGTGTCTGGTGCCAAAGCAAATGTCTGGTTAAAATGCTGGCCTGCCTTTGGGCTGGTGAGTGCTACACGATGGGCTAGGAACTGCTGGGAGTTTGACTGGGGCTTGGCAGCAGCACCTGGGACACATCTGCCCACCCCAGTTCACCACGCCTCCCCTCTTCACTACTCATGTCATGTGGACGGGGCATCTTCTTTTACCTTCCAGCCTGGGACACAGGAGCTGCCATCTTCCCTTCCCCCATGTGGGATTTTAGAGGGCACCTTTGATTAATTGTTTGATTAAAAGCTATTTTGCCCAGGTATTTTTGCCAGTGTTTTTCTGATTTTTTTTTTTTTTTTATGCCTAATAGAAAAATTGATTAGAAGAGAAAATAAAATCATCTTATATCTTTTCTTCACTCCTTCTTTCAGGCATATTCTGTTTCCTACCACTTTTATTAACAAGATTATTACAGATAGTGGATGAATTATCTGATAATCACAGCAGGGTTGCTACTATCGTTGACCCTAAAAAAATCCCAATCTCCCACTACAGGACTATTTTACAGGCTGATCAGAAAGAAGGGTCTATTTTTGAACTGTTTTTTCTTTGTTAATCTGGTATTCAAACAAATTAAATTTATAAATTTAAAACTGACATGGTGATTTATTTTCAAGACCAAGGTCTAACTTTGTAATATTTCTTGAGAAGATTGTGATTCCTCCTCAGTTTTATTTTCTGAGTTCCAGACAGAGGTCATATAAAAATAGTAACACATATAAAAAGATGTTTTTTCTTCATGCCATTATTCTTAATTACCCACATCCTTGAACCATTCTTTTTTTTCCTTAATAGTTACACCAGTCTAATGTTTGTGCATTGTTATCATCTCTCCTATCAGTCTCATAGCTCCACATGACTAACTCCCCTAATCTTCGAGGCAGGGAGGAGAAGTGGAGATTGCAATTGTTGTGTATCCCCTGGCAGCCTGACAGATGAAACAATCCCCACACAAGGCTGCGCTATCAGCCGGCTCCTCTCATTACCTGGCAGCAAACTGGCCGCCCTGAGAGGCTGCTCGCCTACCCGAAACTCCGCTGTGGCAGCCCCAGGTGGGCTCAGCCAGATTCCTGGCTTCCCTGCCGGCCTCAGCTCAGCACTTTCACAGCTAACTGATTTTACAAGTGTCTTGCACTGATCGCACATATGCAATTGCACACTGAGTTTGGTCAGGGGACTTATCTGGCTGAAGAATAATGTGGAAAAAGGACACTGGTGCAAAAGAGAAGGAGAAAGGCATAGCACTCAGTAGTGTAAACTGTGGAGGAAGGGGCTTGGCCTCTGCTTAATATCACTGATGGCATGCTGTCCTCATCCTTCTGCAAGAAACCTTCCCCCAGTGCCAGCCCATGGGTGGAAAATTCCCCAACCATGACTTTTAAAGTGGAAGGAAAATGGCACTTCCACAGTAGGAAAATGGCACTTCCACAATAGGATATACAAGTCTCTTGAATATCACAATAGATGTAGCTCAGGTAAGCAACTGCTGGCACAGTTCTTTGAAAGGGACTCCCACAGAGGCTCAGAGGCTACACAGCTCTTCTTCCACAAACAGTTTATTATGGAGCAAGCACCTCTGTCCTTCTTTACAGAGGGGTGATTTAGGTGTTTCCATTCACTTAGAGCACTGACCTGGATGTTCGTACCAAAAAACTATCTTGGACAAAACACTGTACCACTGCTCTTGACATCTTAACAGGAGGTGGACTTTCTCCAAATAGTGATCGAGATACGTCTCAGTTTTGCCAGAATGGGACAGTTGTGACTAAGAAAAGAGGCCAGGTCCCCAAAAGTCCCCATTTCTCTTCGTTATATAACAAACTAGTTTAGTTTCTGATGGCTCAAAGTGAGTATATATCGAGCCTATTAATAATTACTACAAGGATGTCCAAGAAAAACTGGGAGAAAAGCATTAGGAAAAAAAAAAACCCTAAAACCTCCCAAAGAATCTAATCATGATAGGGTGAGAAAAGAATGTGGCTGTGGATTGATGGATGATGTGTAGATATTTTTTGTTAGAGACTTATGAAACAAGTAGAAAGTCCAGATGTTTCAGAGACAGTAAATAGTTCAATGTTTCTGAAATGGGTCAAGGGAGAAAGTTAACACTGAGATGCCCAAATAGGTTATATCTTCCACCTGGCTTTATTAGTTGGTGCAGCTGAGATTTTCTTCTATAAGGAAAAGCATTTTGAACTTCATCTAAGCAATTCTTTTTTAGTTTATTTTCAACTAAATATATCAGGCTGGAAGTTGTAACAAAATTGGATCTTAGTGTAGGACCAGGTTGCTGCTGAACATGACCAGGGGACCTACATAAGCAGCTTGATTGTGGGCTGGTGTAATCTTCAGTCCAGTTTTATCTGTATTGCAGAAACCCAGAGGCTGGACATTTCACTCAAAGGCACAGAAATTGTTCTATACTCACACATTTCTAACTTAGAAGGTCACTTCCTGTCCTCCTCCCAGTTCCTCATAGATTTGCACCTAGCCAATTCAGCTTGCAAACATTGTTCTGCATTTTACTATCCCCATCCTTTGTTTTCCACTGTCAGTAGCCCTGCTGCTCTTTCTGTTGCTACATATCTTCAGCCTTGAAGAAACTTTAGTTCACTCAGCTAGCTCACATTAGTGAGTTGCTTAAAAGACAAACTTAAATCCCAGCTTTGATTTGTGATTTGCTCTGCTAATGCTTTAATTAGTAATAGTTCTTCAATATGGTGACAACATCTAAGTAAGCACAGATCTGCAATAGATGTGTCTTGACATTTTATTTTGGTGGATTTTCAAACAAAGATCAAACCGTGCTTCCAGGCTTTGGTCCAGTCAACCCAGTGGCTTCCCTAGTAGCAGCACACCTGGCAGAGTCTTCTGTAGTCTGCAGAAAGTTTTCTCCATCACTGCTGGGGTTTGGCGGCTGGTTCACTGTTCGTCTCAGCAGGCTTTTACTGCTTGGTGCCAGGATTTTCATCTGCAGTCTCTGGGCTGTCCTTCCACCAGCTCCACAGGGATGGAGGAACAACTCTGCCTTCCAGAAAGCACTTTGTGTCTTTCACAGATGTTCATAAGGATCTTTTTGAAACTCCCCACCAATTAATCTTGGATAAGTTCTTGATCTGATAGGCATTGGGTATTTTGACTTTTTGTCCTTTCTGGAAAAAGGGTTTTCAGATCCAACTGTCCTTTCAAACTTTTATACATGCATTAGTGAATGCTTATCCAGTGGCTTGGAGTATGCATATATACCCTTTGCCTGGGGAAAAAAAAAAAAAAAAAAAAAGAAAAGAAAAAAAGAGTGATGTGATTTGTACTCATTCCTTCCTCCATAATTTTTCAGGCTTTGTGCTATTTATGGCTCAGCACCCACCTCTAGAGTCTGTTCCCCCGGTTTACTCCAGCATATTCAGTACCTCTGTTCACACCCCAAGGAGTCACAATTCCTTAAGATGAAGACATCATATACTGCAAGTCAGACAGACAATACTTTACCCGTAGTACTGCATTTCTTCAAAGAATTTTAAGTCATTTATGAGCACAAGGTAACTCATACTCACATCATCTGAGATAGACTGCAGGTTTTGCTGCTTCTCGTCCTCTCTACAAGGAAAATATGTTCAGAAATAGATTTTAATTTAAATTTTATCATTTCTACCTATTATACTATTTTTTTTTCTAATTCCTAATGGCAGTTCTGAAAAAAAATGGTATCATAAACAATATTTTCCTTGGACCTGAGGTGTGGCATATGTATATATGCGAGAGTGTTGCATAAAGACAGATTCACACCTCTTCCTTTTTATACAAAAATGTTGCTCCTCAGCACCTGAGAGCACCTGGAGCATTAGTAATGCAGAGAGCAGAGAGCAGAACAAATGACAGTATGTAGGTTCAAAGTGTGACCAGTGTATGCAAAATGTAATCATTGTTGGGGCCACTAAAAATTGCATGACCAGCAATGATTTATTAGTAGTGCAGAATCCAGGGAAATACTCCCCTCTAAATTATTGTTTCTCTGGCTCTAAGCATTCAATACATTCCCAGCTTGAGCCAGGGAATTTATTTTCTCCTCTCCTCTGTATTTGTCTGTGGTTTGCATTATCATTCACTAAATATACTTGGACATGACATTACTTTTCTTGAGCTACAGATTTGAAAACTTCTGTGACTCTCCCTTTGACCCTCCACCATTTCAGGAATTTCATAATTAAATCAGTAACTCACACTCACTTAATGAATGGGGCCTCTTCTTTTGGCATTATATAAATTATATACTTTTCAAATAAGAAGGGCAGAGTAACAAAAATTATCTAAAACTCATTAGATTGAAAGGCTTGAAATATATAATTTTCATGTTTACACAATTCCTTCCTTTCTTCTAGAAAATATGTGAAAGTAAAGTGGATAATCTGCCACTGAGACAGCTTAATGGTAGATCTAAAATATAAATGTCTACCATTTTGTCTGAAAAGCTACTATACTTCTGTCACCAACTATTTTCATAAACAACTTACATGCTTTATGGAAGTCTTTTTCTGTACTGATTACTCCAATTTTCAAGAAGCCAGAGGAGGAAGCATTTGGCATCAAGGGCCAAAAAGAACAAGTTACTTGGTTCTTAAATGAGCCAGACCAAAAAGTATCTTATGTTGCCTAAGGTGTAACTACATGCTCAATTTTATAAGCCAGTGATGTCAGATTTGGTCAAAGTTAAGTTTGTCTTGGCTGTGAATTTGCTGAAGCTATTACCAAATACACTGAGGACTGGGGAATCTGCTGACTGCTACTTTGAGAAAAGGAGGGGGCAGAATCAGCTTTCAGAGAATCAATCCACAGAGGTACCCACTGTTGTTTCATGGTGGCCTTTGCAGAGCTACTGCTAAATGTGAGATGTGCCCCACTATTGCTCTATTGCTCAGTTAAGGAAAAGAAACAGGACACAAAGTGAAATTTCTGAAACTCAGTAAACATGTGTTTTACGCTAAAGACAAAGAAGAGATTCCAGTGTGTGTTGGATCTCGAGATGGGTAGCTTATGCTACCTCCATTGCAAAAGAGGAAGAAGAAGCAGAAAATATCTGCCAGAAATAGGATAAGATGGGCCATCTAAAACAACAGACAAAGATATACCAGCTGAGTCAAAAAATCATTAATTGGGATGAGTTCATGGCTTTGTAGCCTTGTAAATGCTAGTGCTTGACTCTTACTCTTTCTTTTGCTAAGATGCTAGACAAGTTCATCTTTTGAAAATTAGCACATGTGACTAAATACACAATGATAAAAGCACTTATATTATTTCCATAAATTCCCCTGACAGCCATTTGAATGCAAATTGAGCAGAAAGAAACCCTGTTTAAATGAATTAACAAGGAAAGGCAGTGGGGGGATGTGGGGGAAGAAACAGGACTGAATACAGACATACTAGAGACAATCTCTTAAAAATAGCATTGGTTCATATTCAATATAATTGAAGAAGGCATTTAATATACCTTTATTTAGGGTCAGAGGACTTTTAATTTATCAAGTTTGAGTGCACTGTGAGTGTGCAGTCAAGACAGTGAAATGTGTCATCTATTTCAATACTGCAAACCAGGGACTGCCTGTTATGTGTTTGCTTTCTTGCTTTTATCTCCATGAACAAAAAACCCAGCAACTTCTTAATTGAAAAGATAACATCACAAAATTGAAATGATACAGCACAAAAACTGGGCCACATGTTTAGAACCTGCAGTAAACTTATCTCATTTTAGTGAGTCTCTGTTATTGTGCTTGCTGACCTGGCGTGTGCAAGCTGTAGAAGATTGATGACTGTTAGAAGATTTACAAGAAAGCTAAAGTTAAGCAGGAAACTAGTTTATTTTATCTTGAAAACTGTGAAGTAAGATGAAAGTTTATACCACTTCAGAATGTGGTAGATTATTTACACAGTTTTGTTTTTCTGAGAAAGGGATACACTTTTCAGTGCAAACTTTTGATTGCCAGTGCTGCTGCTCTATGTTGCCATAGTGGAAACTGAGGCACTGGTGCTAGCACCAGGGGCTGAAGATGAGGAGTAAGGGCAGAAATATACTTCTCACAAGTTCACAACCAAAGAAACCAGATGGAGGCTGCAGGTTCACCTGGATGTTAGTCATCCCAAAGCATTTCACTGGAAAGCATTAGTGAAAATAAGATGGATGGAACTTAGTCTTGTATGAAGTACTATGGAGAAAACAACTCCAGAGGGAAACCAGAAAGAAATAAGGCATATACTCTCTCCACATGTACCTAAAACAAGCATCTGCTGCAATATATCTGCATGCAGTCCTTTTAGATCATGAAGAGCAGTAGGTAGGAACAGACCTATTGAAAAACCAAATATGGGTTGCAAGAAGTCCCACTGGTGACTCACTGTTGAACAGTGTTCAATTGCCATTCAGCTCTGGTGAGTCAGGGATAACTGTACAGATGGATATATCGTGTTCAGAAGAGATGTAATATCATGGCACATCAAATTTACAAGTATATTTTCATTTGAAAATAAGTTTCTTAATAATAAATAACTTCAATTTATAGAAAGATTTAATTTCTTTCCCTATTTTTTCAATAAAATTGTAAACTATTTTACATAGTTCAAAATATTTGAGGCAAAGTAGCCACATAGCACAATTCAGTTTAAATAGAATAATTTTTAACTTTGCCTCAAAATTACAAAATAGTTGATTTGAATTATAGCAAAAAACAAATGACATATTTAAATAACTGTCCATCATTTCAATAGCAAGGGTTTGAAATAAGCAATAGAATAGATTCTAAACTGTGAACATATATCCTTTCTTTATGGCTAACTGGGTTTGACTTCACATGGTTAAAAGATATATGTGAATGTCTAGCTACAGCTGAAAGAAATTAGCTCCATCCAACAGATCCTTTCTTGTACAGACCACATAAAAAAGATACATCTATGAAATGTTTAAACAAAAGACTCTTTTAAAATTAGTCTTTCATGAAAACCATCATTCAATCGTCTTCTTAATGTGACCCATGATGTAAATATGCAATGCCTGTACCAGGTGAAATTACACCGCTATACACATTGCCTACCTAAAACCGTAGTACTGCAATGCAAAACACCAAAGGACTCTGAGAAAACTAAAACTCAAGCCATGCTAGGGACACAATCTTGTCTCTCCTGCAGAACAGCTGAAGAAGACAGAGTCATAACTGTTTGCAAGGTGCAAGTGGACTGCAAGCTAGTTGTGATTAGTGAAATGGAGCCCCTTGTTACCAGACAAATTTCGTTGAGTTACGAAGGTGAAAGTGCCTTGGGAAGATTAATATGAAAGGATTACAGACTTGCAATGCTGGTACCATCTGTGGGAGGCCTTAGCTCTATAGGGAAAGCACTGCAGTGAGAGCCTATGCTCAAGCACCAGCACTGCTTCAGAGTTCAGATGATCTTTAGGTCAAAATTATTCTGCATTTGATCTTTCTCTCTGCCAAATGGGCTCGTAAAGTTATTTGAATAACAAAGGAGACAGAGTTATAGCTAGGATAATGGCTAAGTCAGGATGTTCCAACACAAAACTATGGCACTGATTAAATATTGGTGTCTGAAAGAGAATTGGTAGAAACAAAACATCTTCCCTAGAGAGCTAACAGCTAGTACTGCCCAGACAGACATTCAAAGGCACTCCAAGAAACCTAGATAAAAACAGAGAAATATTGACACAAATTCATCTGTTTTAACTGTTGTTCTGTCTGGATTGCAAGATAGCTACAGGTCATGCAGCAGCTGCTGTCTGAAAATATGCATGCTTCAATCTATTACCTACACCTGTAAACAACTCTTCATGTGATGATGGTATGGATGTCAGCAGCACAACGGGTCTCATCTCATATCCAATAGACAATGGAGATTCTGTGGAAGGCTCCAGACAAAACTGGCATCCTTGAAGGACAGCACTACATCCTTACCACTCTCCACACTAAGTTGTATGTAAAATTCTAAACATTGCCCTTTCTCCCAGCAAGATTTCAATTGCTTGAGAGGAGGAGAGAGAATCTGAGATAAACAATCAATTTAGAAAGTATTTCCCAAAATTATTTTTGAGATGTTGTCTGGCAATGTTCTGAGCAGATGTACCATGGTGTTGTGCCATGTTGTTAAGGGGGCTAAGTTGTGCTGTTAGGTAGCCTCTGTGCTGAACTGTGCCACAGACACCACCTTCCATGGAGAAGATGTTGTCTGCAGCCAAGTCACTGCTCAAGGCATTCCTAGGCCTCATAGTTACTTGTGGCTGTATGAGAAGAAGGAATCACATCCTTTGGATATTGGGGTCTTATTCAGGATCTTGAAGACCAAGAAATGAAACAGCAAATCTAGAAAAGTTTGGTTTGTTTCTGTGCTTTTAGTTCGATAGGTAAGGTGAGGACCAGTGTTCTGAACAAGGCAGTTTCTGGGCAGGCACCAGACCTCTCCATTCAGGGAACTGCCCAATGGCCTTGAGATGGAAAAAAATAAACCTGCCTGACCTAGCGAAAAAAGGCATA